CAATTTCCACATCAACATCAAAAATCTCATTATCAGATGACTGAAGCTTAATTTGCGGCATCTAAAACAGAAATAACAATAAACAAAAAAATTGAGGGGACGCCATTTTTTCCCAAAATAAGAATAGAACGATTGACAATAAAATAAAACATAGGCGTTTTAGAAAAATGGTTCCGATATAAAATAACAAGTAATTTACCAGTAGTTTATTATTAGAAGTATATAATATTATAAATCAAAACCTTTGTATCAAATTCAATAAACTACGTACGCACCTTCCCAATTCACAATAACAATTACCGCAAATTACCGATACACAGACTACTAAGAGGATACTACGCATGTACCGATATCGACTGTTACCGACTAGGGGCTAGGGGTGTTCGATGATCGTCGATGTTAAGAATTAAAACATCGTTAGATCGATGTTGCCACATGCTACTAACGCTTTGTCATTGTGGTGTAGTGTCGTTGTGAGTGATCACCGGTTATCTCAGTAATATAGTCAAGTTAATTGTTTCTTTTCTTTGGCTGTGTATACCCATATAATTTTGAAACAGTATGTAAGTATTTACACATAAATTTTTTGGGGTGCATAGTTGTCTTTAAGCCATCAAATTACTGAGCGTGCATGCATAGACAATTTCACTGCATCGTGTATTAATTTGTGGTATATATGACTGTGCATTTTATAAAGAGTTGTGGATACCGTCTGCTTGGGCTGTCTGATAAAAAATAGTTAACAAAGGTGAGAAAGTCATGACCCCTTTAAAAACCCCGAGAATTCCAAATTCAATTTTGTAAATTCATTTAGTTGGTACATTTGAGTTTTGATAACAGTCATTCATTTGTTTTTCCTCATTATTTTTTCTTCGGCGTCACTTATTACCGCACAATGAAAAACATGAAGTATCGGTATATTTACGAGTACGAGTTCTAACGTGGCACCAGTGCTGCAGAAACAGCACGAAGGATTAATGATGTGTACGGCGCTGATGTCGCAAAAGCAAGCACGGTACGTCTTTGATTTCAACGTTTTTGTTCTGGAAATTTCAACCTTCAGAACCAACCCCGTGGACGGCCGGAAGCCAAAAAGGAAAATGAAAAATTAAAGGCTTTTGTGGAAGCGGATCCATCACAAAGAACTTCAGAGATAGCTGCAGGCTTCGGCGTAAGTGATAAAGCTGTATTAATCCACTTGAAGCAAATCGAGAATGTAAAAAACTTGAACTTGAAACGTCGACTGCTGTGTTACTTTGCTCAACCGACACAAAAATGAAGGGATTTTAAATCGAATCATTACTTGTGATTAAAAGTGGATACTGTACGATAATTGGAAGCGCTCGTTGCAATGGCTGAACCCTGGAAACCCAGCCAAATTCTGCCCTAAACGAAAATTGACTCAGAAAAATTTACTTGTGAGTGTTTGGTGGACTAGCGCCGGTATCGTTCACTACAGCTTTCTAAAATCTGGCCTAACGATTACGGCAGATATCTATTGTTAGCAACTATAAACCATGAAAGAAGAACTAGCTGCTAAACCACCGCGATTAGTCAATCGCTCTAGGCTACTGCTGCTTCACGACAGCGCAAGACTATTATACACTGTACAACAAACAACCACTAAATTAGATGAGATACAGTTGGAATTTCTGCGACATCCCCGTATTCCCTGGACCTTGCTCCAACAGATTGCAATTTTTTTCGGAATTTGGACAACTTCCTACAAGGGAAAAAATTCAATTCTGATGCGGCAGTCCAAACCGCCATCAAAGAGTTTATTGATTCTCACCCCCATGGTATTTTTAGTAAAGAGATCAATGAACTACCTATGATATGGCAAAAGTGCATAGATAACAACGTGTGCATACTTTAATTAATTAAATATATTTTGCAAAAAAAAGTATATTCCTCCCGTAAGGACCTATTATAAAGTTTGTTAATGCTTTCTCTATAATCTATTACATTTTTTTTATTTTTTATTAATAATATTTTTTAATTCATGTGGTTGATATGAAAAGTACCCCTAAATCATAAATCAGGTCCAATTGTAAATTTTTTCATACGAGATGTGTTCATATCACAGCTCTTAATGATCAAAATAATAACACTAAAATGTCGTAAAATTAAAAAGCATTGTTTGCATTGCATGTTCCTACAATATTTTCTATTATCAATATCTAATTTTATTTCTGGTATTTCTAAACTTAAGAAAAACTAAATTGTTATATTTTTTAGGGCTAACACTGCTGCGATGCCTCCGAAAAGTAGATTTTGTGAATTTTTCGAAAAAATTAGCAATGGTGAAGAAAAAAGTCGCACATGCTTAAGAGGTTTCAAAACTTGTGGTAACACTACAAACTTAAAATTGCACATCGAAAAGATGCATGAGTCATTACTGGAGAAACAGAAAGGTATGGATAGTATAGAAAATATTGTGGTAGCGAAGAAATCCCGCAAAGCAAAAACCCACAGTGCAAGCTTTCTGTAGTTCTGCTGGATTGACTTCCTCTAGCACTGCTTTAGATCCTGAAATATATTCGCATGAAATTGATTCTAGTACTATAAATGTAAGTGACAATAGTATTAATACACAATCTAGTTTTAAAAAATCGTACCAGCGAAAGGAATTAGGTTAACAAATGCCATTTTGTACATGATTTGCAAGGATTCACAGCCTTTCCAAATAGTGTAAAATGAAGGATTTCTAAACCTGATGAAGATAGCTGTATAAAGTTCCTCTGTATAAAGTTCCTTCCAGACATACTTTACAGAGAATGTTAGACGACCGATATGAAGTTACACAGAGCATTTTCAAGGATAAAATTAAAGGTTTAAATAGTATAACACTCACAATCGATATCTGCACTGATACTATGCAAATCAGGAGTTTTATTGGTGTTACAATACACTTTTATGACGAGGACAACATGCTATTGGCTACTTTAGGAGTCTACGAATTATCAGAATCGCACACTACTGAACATATCGCAAGGATGCTGATGCAGACATGTGACGAATGATTCATAGACACTAAAAAGTATTAGCAGTAGTAACTGATGGAGGAGCAAATGTAGTTAAAGCTGTTGATCTTGCATTTGGAAGAAAATGCCACGTAATTTGTTTTGCTCATTTGATTAATTTAGTAGCGCAAAAGTGAATTGAGAAAACCGACAAGTTACCACATTTGATCGCATCCTGTAGAAGAATTGTTACCTGGTTCAAACACTGTGTGGCAGCTAATGGTGAATTACAGAAAAAATCTGATTTAAAACTTATATAACACGTCGCGACTCGGTGGAATTCGATATTTTATACGATCGAGTGATTTTTAAAGCTGCGTCCAGCTATAAACCAAATTGTGAATATCCATACCAGTGCTCCTCCAATGATAACTGCAAAAGAAATAGAAGAATTCACAGCGATCTGTGAAATTCTGCGCCCTATAGAAATCGCGACTCGGGAAGTATGTGGAGAAAGTTTTGTGACAAGTAGTAAAAGAATTCCCGTAACGCGAATGTTCAATTTAATAATCAACAGCTTACAGCCTAAAAGTGCCACCGGAGAATATCTCAAAAATAACATATTGGTTGAAATAAAATGACATTTGTTACCTTCTGAACATGTGACAATACTTCAACCATTACCATTTCAACTCTGTTGGATCCCCCGTTTTAAAAATATACATTTCCAAAATCCGGTGGCATGTTCGAAAACAATTAGAAATGTAAAGGAATTAATAACCACTGCAGAGCTACAGGTTACAGAAGATGAGAATCGTGACGAAGTTGAATTGGAAGAGTTTAATCTGTGGAGCGACCACTATAAACTCGTACAAAAAAAATAGCATACCTTCGCAGAGTGAGCTGCACATGCATTCTTCCAACTCTTTTAATTACCTTTTTTTACTTAATTGTTTATTAATTTCTTTTTATTACATTTATAATAAACGATAAATAACATGACTATATTTGATTAATTTTTTTTGCGCCCGAAGCAAATATGGGCAACCCTCCGGAAAGCGGGGGAGGAAGGTAGGGAATGCTCATAGCATACCACGCAGCCGGCTGCGTGGTTATGTGGAGACTTTTACCCACTAAACCCCACCTTTTAGGGACTGGCTTAACGGTCTAACTAGAGATCTCTAAGCCGTATACGGACGCGACCCTCCTTGGCAGAAAGGAGGGCGCAAATTGATTCATCTAATTCTAACCTATTAAATACATGTGCAAAAACATCGATAATGCCCAACATCGATATTTTGAGTGGGATAAATATCGAACATCTATGTTGAGCTATCGAGGTCATCATCGATGTTTCTTCAACATGACAACACTAGCGTCGGTAATAGGGATGCTATTATCGCCGTTAGTTTTGCCAAATCTAGACCGGTCCGTGTAGCCAAAAATTTTCCGCGCCTTTTTTTTAATTTTAAGCCTAAATTCGCCTATTTTTTTCTGTACTAAAAAGAAAATATCCCGGTTTCGCTTTGTGAGTTAGATGGGTTCTAAAAGTTTTTTTACACAACTTTTGTTGATTTTGTTAATACTTTTGTAGAGTCGCTGATATTGTTTTCGATTTTTATTTATCGTAAAGTGTTGTTAGTTACTTCGTTTTTATTGACTAATTCTTTGTTTGTTATTTTTATTTTACTATTTACTCTAAATTCTGTTAACAATGGAGTATAAAAATAAGTAAGTTCGCTGGAAAGTACTTCATAGTCTTCTTCTTCTACCTAGCGTTTATCCCGGTTGCTCATTCCGCCCAACGCGGGAGAAACCAGGGTCCGCTTTCCTACACTTCCTCCTCCACTTTGCCCGTTCCTCGGTGTCCCTCGTAACTAGCCCATTGGCGCGCATATCATCCTGCACGACATCAAGCCAGCGTTTCTTGGGCCGTCCTCTGCTCCTGGTACCAGGTAGGTTCATGTCCAGGCATTTGTTTCCCACGTAGCTTGCCGGTCGTCGTAAGACGTGGCCGTACCAGCGGAGGCGACTTTCCTACAGCTTGTTAGCAATGTCGAGGATATGGAGGCTGCCGCGGATGTATGTATTCCATACATGGTCTTTCCGCGTGACGCCACACATCCACCGCAGTATGTTCATCTCCGTGACATGCAACAACTGCCGGTGTCGCTCCAGCACCGGCCACGCCTCACTGCCGTACGTAAGGACAGGCCTTATGATGGTCTTATAGACCTGTCCCTTCAGCTTGACCGGCATTTTGGGGTCACAAATGACAACCGTCACCTCGCGCCATTTCGCCCAGGCCGCTGATATACGGGCCTTGATGTCGCGATCGATGTCCCCGGACGCATCAAGCACAGATCCGAGGTACCTGAAGTTGTCCGTGCGCTCGACGGTGTCGTCGCCTATACGGAGAGACGTCAGATCTGTATTGTTGCAGACCATATACTCCGTCTTCGCCACGTTTAACTTCAGCCCGCCGTTCTCAAGCGCCTCCCTCCATGCGTGCACGCGTCTGGTGAGCCGTCCTTTGTCCCCATCAACCAGTGCGATAACATCAGCGTACATAAGCAGCCAGGGCTGCGGTAGTTTCTGTACGCTGGCTGATAGTTCGTCTAATATCACACTGAAGAGATAGGGGCTTAAGACGGAGCCCTGATGCACGTCTACGGTTATGGGGAAGGGGGTGGTATCACCAACAGCGGTCTTGACTATTGAATCGGAGTTGCGGTACATGTCACGTACGATTTCCTAGTAGGTCTCTGGTACCAACTTCGACCGCAACGCCCACCAGATCATCTCCCTAGGAACACAGTCAAAGGCCTTCGGCAGGTCTAGGAATAAACAATGCAGAGGCATATTCTTTTCCCTGTGCTTCTCCATGAGGATCCCTAGGGCGAATATAGGATCCATGGTACCGCGTCCTGGTTGGAAACCGTACTGGGAGTCCGATACTCTACACTCCTGTCGGATCCTGGTGTCAATAATGCGCTCGAAGAGCTTCATGGTGTGTAACGTCACCTTTATACCGCGGTAATTACCGCAATCCTGAACGGACCCTTTACCCTTGTGGACCGGCGTTATTATACTAAGTCGCCACTGATTGGGCATTATTCGGTCACTCAGGATTCTATTATAAAGGTTAGTAAGAATGCACACACCACGAGCCCCCAGCGCTTTCCATGCTTCAATTGGCACTTCGTCCGGTCCGACAGCTTTCCGATTCTCCATGTGACAAAGAGATGCGAGGACCTCGTCAGGCGTAATGGGTGGCACGAGTCCATGGTTCGGGAGTAGTTCGGGAGGGTGCACTTCCCGGTACTGAGTATTCAGCAAAACGTGTAAATAAGAGCGCCATCTCTCCTTCACCGCACGATCATCGTACAGGAGCTCGCCATTAGGGCCGTTGACGCTGCAGCAGCGAGTAATATCTTGCGCTGCTTTGGCGCAAGATATTACTCGCTGCTGCAGCGATAACAATATACCCTATATTGCCAAAGTTGTCACGCTTGACAAATACATATATTGGCAATCACAGTTTTTTTTTAATTTAGTTGCTATCAGAAAGTTGCTGCCGCCGATCCCCTAGTTGAATTACCCTGTCCCATAATAGTGGATATATTCTTACATCACCAGGAAGGTCACAATAAAGATGAATAGTATTTATTTCGACGTCACACTGCTTGCCGTACGCACCTTATCGACAACACTGATTGTCGTGCATGAGTGAGCGGGATTGAAGTAGCCCGTGCGACTTCGATGTATCGTAGGAACTAGGCTTGCCAACTCCAAAAAAGGCATTTCCGGGATTACGCAGCTGGACATCCGGGACTTGGGTATATTACGTAGGACACAACACACCGCATACAAATTGGTTAGAAAAAAAAAACACTATATATTTTTTTAATAATTTGATATAAAAACAATACAAATGTTTAACAAACATCTTAAATTTTTCAATTTAATTCATATTTTTGTTTTAAAACTGTACTTTCTTTGCGATTTTAACAAGCTTTTGTTCTGCAATACGTAGTTATAAAATTAACTGCATTTGTGAACAGTACACCGATCGCTCACCATCCTTACGGTGCCTCTACACGTTGGCCAACACACTGACGAATGTAGTGGCCAATAGCATTGGCCAACGTGTAGAGCGGGTGTTTGGGCTTCATTGGTATGTATTGGAACGATGGCCCACAAGTTGGCGCGAGATCCGTCTGGTGTCGGTTTTTTTACAAAAGATCAAAGGATTGTTGGCAGTTTGGCTGCCGCGTCCACACGTTGGGCGCGCGTTTAGTTTCACAGACACACATCGAGACCCGGAACAATTATTTGTAGGACATACAAATACTTGTTCCGTGAGGGATTCAAACCCGCGGCCCCCGGCGCAGCCAATCATTGCTAAGCCACTGCGCCACGGAGCCATCGTCGAAAATAAAATAAATTCATCCGCACATTGGTCTGAACCGAAGGAAACTGAACGACCTTCCAACATGTGGATGCCGTCACAAACTGTCGGCCAATATCTTCGCCACTGTGTTGGCCAACGTGTAGAGTCGCCGTTACGCGAAATACGCAATGCGTAGGTATTAAGAAATTTTAATAATGTGTAACAAATTAGTGTAGTAGTAGTGGAGTTGGTACGAGATAGATATGTACTAATATTATATAATCACTGATTTCTGGGACAAAAGCCGTCCCGCAAGGGGTCACGGCGGGACGGCCCAAAATTGACCCAGAAGCCGTCCCGGAAAATTCGGGACGGTTGGCAAGCCTAGTAGGAACGGAAATTAGTACCTGTTACGGGGCTATTCAACGAGATCGACTTTTAGTGGAGTCTAAAGTATTATGTATTCTACCAGGCATTAGAATGATAGTTTCTAGATACGCTCATGTAAATTTCAAGCTTGTTCATCGCCTTAATAAAAAAAGAAACATTAAATGAAAAACCACAGAGCCCACAAAATATACATATATTTCTGTTTATGTAATACATCCCTACTATATATATGTTTATTTATACATTCTACATAAATAATATGTAGGTGTAGAATATAATGCAAGTTTAGCACTTGTGTAATCTCTTAAAACGACTATTATCCCACTTTTTGGCACTAATTACAAACGATACGTCTTCTACTTACACGTAAGCACATAATATATTAACGAAGAACAATACGTTTTTAGAACACAGGACTATTTTATTCATCACTTGCTAAGAAGGTACATAAAAAGTACTTAACAATTTATTTGTGAAAGTAACCAAATTATTTAAAAATAGACTTTTTAATGACGATACGGACACAAACTTAATGTCAAACTCAGTTTTAGTGACCCTTCGCCTGAGTCATTTGATCTGTGTCTAGTGTCGTTTTGATATTCTATACGTAAGCTAAACAGGCTAATATATTTGCATACAATATATAAATATTTGATTACATATGGCTATTAAAGATTACTTTTGAATGTAACAATTTTATATATTATATACCTTTCAACTCAATGCACACCTTAACCATAGAATAAACAATAGTACTACGTACCATAACTAAGATAACAGATCATAAAAGATGTGGTTATTAAAAATCACTGGCTAAGCTTCCAATAAAATAGGTATAAGCACAGAAAATAAAAACAAATATTATTCATAAATTAACTAATGTAAATATTTTGTTTCTATACTTTAATAACAGCCTCAAAACATTAAGTGACTTACACATATGGTATATTTAAAATAAAATTAAAATCAGATTATAAACTACAGACCACCTAATTGTAATTTACCTGCATCAATGATGACTTATTAATTTTACTTTATTTAAGTAAACGTAAAATCTGATTCCAGCAGAGTGAACAAGTAGAATTCTGTAAATTAAAGTTTTCTAATATAATTATAGTCTTCCAGCTTTCTAGGCAATATTTTATTTAATATTATAATTCGCATTGGGTTCAGTGTTCTTCCGGTAAGTAAATTTTAGTAATTTCATGAATGGGGCGAGGTGCTGGGTATACTGATACTGGCATAGTATGTTAATTCTTTGCTAAAACTTCATGGGTATATTCTCAAAAAAATGTTTTTATCGATTCTAACGTTATCGAAATAAATTTCACTATGCTAATTTTTGTAAATATTTCTTTATTTATTATAACATTTATTGGGTCACAGTGAATCGTCTCATTTAGATCACTTCAATGCACGATATCGCAATGAAATTATTTAAAATACCGCAATCAAATGATTTTCCATTGGCAAAAATAATAAAAGCTGTAACATCGATAGCGAAAATACCAAAAACTACTACGGAAACGTAAATATGTTCTAACCAAAAACTCAGTTGCACTTTTACCTATTGAATGTCAAATTTGATTATGCTACTAAATGCAGCAAAAACTGGCGTTTGCAGACTTGTCTATCTATTTATTTGTAATCGATATAAGTATATATCTTTCCCAACTGCTGCAAAAAAGAAAAAAAAACTCTTTTTGGTTGAGCGACTGCGGGGAGCGGAGGCGACCTGAGGAGGTGGGAGGCGTGAAGACGCTCAAGAAAGTGCGAAGAAAGTGCGCCTTGCCGCTGTGGTATGCACAGGTAGTATGCCACGTTGGATCGGATGCATGACGTGGTTTCTTCTTTTTTTTTGGGGCGATTTAAAAAATGAGGTTTTCTAAATTGGCACTATCTAGAAGGGAGTAGTTTTTGTTTGCACAAGATATAATGCAAATTAAAATAGGAGTTCATGATTTAAATTAAGACAGGCATCAGTTAGGTGAATATCGGTAGACTGTATGACAAAATACGTTAATACCCACAAAAGTTTTGAGGAATATAATATTATGATTATAATTTTCATGCTCACTAGACCATATTGCAGACCGAGAAATTATTTCGCTAATAAATGTATCTCCGTATTTATGTTTTGCATCGCGGGAAAATCAACACTATTTGATTTAGACGCTGGACACGCGAACACGTATCACGTGCTTCGTCCTCCGTGGTCGCGGTCGCGCGGTCGGAGCGCACCCCCTCCTCAGCAAAGAGTAAAAAAGACCAAACAATCAAAGTATTGGCTTTAAAAAGTGTTTAAGTTTAAAATAATAAATTAACATACAAAATTGTGACTGCCATGAGAAATATTACATTATTTTCATATTACATTATTAACTTGGGTATTTTTTCACAAGTCTCGTGCCCGGCTACTATACAATTAGTTTTGTCACGCGATGATGTGAAGAGCACGTATGCGAACCATAATAGTACAAAATATCCTAGGGGTCCATAATATCTAGGGGGTAGGGGGTAGGGGGGGGTAGGGGGTAGGAATCCTAGGGGCCTCTGAAGAACAGCTTGAACAATCGGAAAGGGGTCGTGGCTAATTACTCATAGTATGTAGGTAGTAAATTTAAAAAAAAATTGGGTGACTTCCAGAAAACTACAATTTTTGGCTTAGCCACGAAAGTGATAATCAAATATGATAAATGACGCTAAATCTTCAGCTTTAGTTCTTACCAGATTGAATTAACTCTAGGTGGTGAACGCAGAGCTTTTCGTAAAAGTTATGCAGCTATGCACCATTCCAAAACCCAAATAAACAGCAGCAAAAAATATTCCAAGCTATTAGGTAATCCTCTAATAGATTTAGGTACAATTAATATGTAACTGTCTCGAATATAATGTACAAATTACCATTTTTTTTCATATAAAATATCAAAATAATTAATTCAATTTTTGTGATAATGATCCACTGTTACCCAAATCTAAAGTCACTTTGTTCCATGTCAATATTATCCCTCAAAAGTTTTGTTAAGTAATTGTAAACAAAAAATATATTCAATTTTATGACATTACTGATTTAAAAATCCCCTAAAGCGAATAAATTTAACTATTGTGCCCCAATTTTGTGTAACAAATCCATGATATGGTTGCTAAGGTTAATAAAATATTAATCTTTATAAATCCACTACAAATCAGTGATAAAATATTGTGTAAGGTATTATAAAACTAACAAAATAAAGCTTATTTGATACCTAATTTAGATCATATACGAATACAAATATTACTTAAAAATTAAAACTTTATAAAAATAAAAATAACATCTGTTATGACGGATGATACTACTATGTATCATGCGTCACATATTCATAACATACATTTTAATTAAGAAAAATGTTTCATTTGGCCAAGATCATGAAATTTTACTTAGATGAGTATGGTTTTATCATTAATTCATATTGTCGAGCCTCTCTTTAAGTCGAAAATATATCTTTAGACTGGGTCGGAGTATGGTGAATAACATCACTAAAAGGACTAAAACCATGCTAAAATATCTTAATATTTCACCAAATGTCCACCAGTGGGAGAAATTACCAAGTAATATAGTGATAACACCCAAAGTTAACGTCAACAAACCCACACTCGCATGTAAAAGTTTTGTATAAATTGGCGCAATGTAGTTCTTTAGCTTTAAACTATACAAAGCCCCAATACCTCCCAAAGATGTTAACGACATAAAAATCAGCGAAGCCAGTCCAAATTTGGCATGTAAAGTGACAAAGTGAGGTTTATTATTGATTATTTTATTAGAAAGTATAACTATAAATCCAATTGTTATAATGGTGACAGCCAGTAACTGTAGAACCCAATGACGTGCACTGCGGAGTCGAATAGGCATCCATTCCGTAGCCAAGTCTCCTGGAGTAATTGCATTTATAGCAGATGTCATAATCATCAGCCACTGAAAGCATACATTCAACAACATTATAAAAATTAAATGAGATGTTATTGTTATTAGTAATGTTCATCGTTATACAACGTATACTACAATTATACGAAACATTTAAGATTTTTGAAAAGAAAACGTTGAGAGTGGATTTCCGAAATTAGTCCATTATAGTGCTGCCATTGCGTAAGTACAAATAAAACGCGAAAATAATAGGAAAGTTCCGTCGCGACATCACTTGAAAATAGTTTTACAATACATTTGTAAACAACAGTTCAGGCAGCTCCGAATCCGTTTATCGACGTTTTCTTCTGTTTAATTTCTTTTTTAACACTATTTGATCTTAATCAGATCAAATAGTGTTAAAGAAACAAGAAGGAAAAAAGAAGTTAAGGAAAGTCCCAAGTAAAATTATTCTCAAATAAAGAAACGCGAAAAAACTTCTGTAGCAATAAAACGTTTTCAACCTACACTATCGTCCACATTTGGAAGCACATCAGTTTTCATACAAAGAAAACATCGCCGATAATATGTGGTAAAAGTTAATAATAAAATTAAGCTTTACGACCTGTTACAATCATTTACACAAAAACAAACGATTATCATAACCCATTCATCAAGTTTTTTTCATAGAATTAGCAGTTTAATGCTGCTGTGTTTCGTATGGTGAATGTAGAAAACCAGAGACCCTTTTTACTGGAAACGAGGCATTCCATCTTAGTCCTCAGGGGTGACAAGGCATCTGCATTTTGATTGATTTGATCAGGTGGACTGTGAGCTCGTTTACCACCTTTATTCTATAAAAAAAGAATTCATCAAGTTTTAAGAAATTCCTTAATTTTGACGAAACACATATTTTTCTTTTATGCAATGGTGTGGTTTTATTGGGATTTTATTGTGGTTATTGTGGGACCCATTATAGTCGCACTTGAGCATTGGCATGCGAAGGTTGTGATATTAACATTCTCTGTTTGCGAAAGATTTTGACTACTGCTTTAACCGTACGTTTTAAAATGGCAAAACGCAAGTAAATCACACTTGAACAGCGAAGCGCTCTTTGTACTCTACGTGAGGAAGAATACAGTGAACGTCAAGTCGCAGAAAGACACGCAATTTCTTGTACCTAAACTTGTCGAGTCCACTACACGCTTACTAGAAACTAGGAATAACAAAGATAGAAAAAACCTTGTACTCCCAAAATCCCCATTATTGTCATCAATATATATATTTATATAATCAGAATCTCGGAAACGGCTCCAACGATTTTATAAAATTTAGTGTCCAGGGAGTTTCGGGGGCAATAAGTCGATCGGGCGTGATATCGGAGTTCCGTGGTTCGCGTCCTGTGTCTGGTCCGGCTTTTTTCCTTTTTTTTTCAAGATCTCTTCTTTTGTGAGAAAATCTTTTATTTCAAGCCCTTTTTTTAGTATTTTTTAAAAATACGAAAGATATATATATATATATATATATATATATATATATATATAATATGTAACGTAATTAACGCACACCCTCAGATACCCCAGTTAGTATATTATGTTATAATCATAATACATACACTGAATTTTTAGTTAAACATTTTTATGCACTGATTATTTATCAAATTAGTTATACTAATTCCGGAAGAACGTTGTGGTCACAGTACAAATCCACGAACGCAAAGACTTTAACGTGCTTGAAATAAAGTTCATTTTTTTATTGAATGACAGAATTAGTAATAATACAAATAAAACTGCACTCTTAAAAGTCTTATTGCCTTAAGTTACGGACCATTTCAGTTTGTTTTGACTGTACAGATTTAGTGTGACTGTAATTTACCTAGTTTTAATTATATTTGGGATAAAAAATTACCTAAGTATATTAAAAATGATAGAAATCGATTCAGTAAACGATTCTGAACAAACTACTTTCTCAAAGTGCGTTAGTTATGTTACGTGTTATATATATATATATATATATATATATATATATATATATATATATATATATATATATATATATATATATATATATATATATATATATATATATATATATATATACGAGGGTGCGTTTTTAAGTTCGCGGAATGGGTAGGTAGGTAATAAGTGGGGACGCCGCTGAATTACGTGCTAATTGAGCAACTCATTATTAGTATAAATACCGGGTTTTATTGTAATTAGATCATTAGTCTTTGAGTTATTGTCAACCAAACAAGTCGATCGGGAAGAATACTGGAAGAGATGTCATCCGTTTACAGAGACTCTTGCCTTTTGTTTACAAGTGGCATACCCTTTTTAAACAAGGAAGAGTCAAAGAAGACGACCCACGGCCAGGAAGGCCGATAGAGGTGACCACTTCGGGAATTATTTAAAAAGTCGAAAAATTAATAGTAAAAGATGCCCGTCTAAAGAAAGAACAGCTCGTAGAAATGGTTGGAGTATCAAATACAACCACTTTCAAAATTCTTCATGACCATCTTGGCATCACTAAAGTCAGCGCAATCTGGGTGCCTAGAATGCTTAGAACGCCGCCTCAAAAGCAACAGCGCGCGGAGTGTTCTCGTGCATTTTTGGCTCGAATTGTTACTGGTGACGAAACTTGGGTTCACCACTATAAACCTTTGAGTTGAGTCCAAACAGGACTCTATGCAGTGGCACAAAAAAAAGGCACACCACCACTCAAGAAATTTAAGGTGGCACAATCGACTGGGAAAATCATGGTGACAGTTTTTTGGGACTCAGAAGGAATCCTATTGATTAATTATAAAGATAAAGGTGTCTCCATAACTGGAAATTACTACGCTTCAATCCTAGAACAATTGAAGGAAGCAATAAAGGAGAAAAGGAGGAGCAAATTGACCAAAGGAATCCTTCTTCTACACGACAACGCGCCTGTTCACAGGTGCCATGTTGCGATGGCTACCCTGCAGAAGGTGGGTGGGCTTTGAAATGTTGCCACACCTACTATATAGTCCTGACCTGGCTCCTAGTGATTACTATCTATATCCAGACTTAATTTATATATAATTCCCGACGTTTCGGGTGCTTCGGACTAAAAATCAATATTCAAAAACTGAAGGTAGCCGGGCTAACAATGACATTGGGACGTCAAACATCTCAGTCCCCCCCCCCTGACCATGGTTGCTGTAAAGCACCCGAAACGTCGGGAATTATATATAAATAAGTAAAAGTAGTGAAATAACGCGATAAAATCCGTAAATTTAGTTTTATTCAATGTGTGGTGTTCGCGTAAATTTAAGAAATCATTTCGTGAGAAAAGCTTTTAAAGTGATGAAGAAGTGAAGGAAGCAGTTTCAGGGTATTTTTTAGACAAAGACAAATATTTTTTGAGGGTATACATAAGTTAATTGAAAGATCGGAAATGTGTTAGGGTAGCAGGTGAATATATTGAAAAGGAAAACTAAATTTGAATTTTTATTTCCTCTCCCTACCACTTTCTGCGAACTTTAAAATGTCCCCTCGTATATATACATTTCAATAACACAATAACACAAGCGCATAAAAACTAGACAATAGATCAATGGAAAAATGTCCTCTAGACGGATGAATCAAAGTTTCACATATTCAGGTCCAGAAACATGTACAGTACTATTAAACATAGAGGTAATGTCATAGTTCGGAAGGGTTTTGACAACAGTAAACACGGAGATCTTGTGGATAACCGGAAAACTAAACAAAGAATTATTTAATTTAAAAAATTCCGCCATACCCATTGGACTTAATGTCATTGGTCCTTAATTCACTTTTCAAGGGGATAATGATCCTAATAATTCGTCAAAACTGTGTCAGAACTTTTTAAACAAGAAAAAAGAATACTAGATTTTAAAAATCATGCAATTGCCATCTCAATTACCTGTCCTTTATCCCATTAAACTTTGTATGGAATGAATTTGACAGAAAGGTGAAAATTCGATTTCCAACTGGCTCAGAACATTTGTGGCAACTATTGAAGAGTATCGAATGGAACAAGTTAGATTAAGATCATTTTAAGAAATTGATTAATAGAATGCCTAAAATATGCTAGACATTTCGATGAAGCTAAAAATTAAAATAATTTTCATATTTTATATTAAATTCTTACAATGTTTAATTTAGTTTTAATTAAATTTTCAATTTAAAATGAATTAAAATAAATTGACGATTTGTTGACTTATTCGATTTTACCTGACTGCTTCCAAACTTTTGAGTATTTAAAATCAAAACGATCGTCGAGAACATAATTATTTTCGCGCCAATAATATACTCACGGATAAATTTAGACTTCTGTTGTACGAGGGTGGATTGAAAAGTACTCGGCCTAACACAGATCCATTCAATTCTAAAAATCAAATCTACCCACATTATTTAGTTCAGTTCAGACTAGTTCATTGTGTGAAGTTCGAAACGTGTGCGATAATTAGTTGTGATTTTATAAATTTATTAACAAAGTAATCGGACATAATTTCCGCGAATGGAGCAAATCGAGCAGCGTGCCGTCATTAAGTACCTCCATAAGAAGGGGCTATCATCAAAAGCCATCCATGATGACATGGTCAGTACATTAGGCGATTGTGCTCTGTCATATTCATCCGTTAAAAAATGGATAGCAGAATTTAAGCGTGGTAGAGAGAGTGTGAAAGATGAACCCGCTCTGGAAGGCCTTCGACGTCAACTACTGAAGAAAATATTAAAAAAGTACTTGATTTAATAATGGGAGACCGCAGATTAAAAATTAGAGAGATAGCCGAGATTATGGGCATCTCTTATGAACGAACTCAAAACATCATTGTCAACGAGTTGGGTTTCCACAAGGTGTCTGCGAGGTGGGTTCCGCGACTGCTTTCAGTTGAACAAAAAAGGACGCGATTGACTATTTCACGCGACTGTTTGGAGTTATTTGAAGCCGATGCAGATGATTTTTTGAATCGTTTTGTTACTATGGACGAAACATGGGTTCATTACTGTACACCGGAAACAAAACAACAATCAAAACAGTGGAGAAGACCTGGTTCACCACCCCCTAAAAAAGGCTAA